TATTACAAAAGTAAACATGAGAGGGATTACAACACTACTAATCATAATGAATGAACATACTGTTAAGTGAGGAAACTGACAGTAAAGCATTATAATTTGGAAGGGGGAGGTCTAAGCAAGTGTTTTTCAGTCTTTTTTCATCTAGACTCCAGTGTTTCCATTCAAATTTCCAAGGGTAGAAGGTCAATGTGAAAACTCACCAACAAATGAACAAAGATGTCTTTAAACTTAGAGTTAAGGAAGAATCTTAGTTAGCTAGCTCCAGGAAGAGGCAGAGAGAGCAGTGAATATTTGCCAGTGATGTCGTCTGATGCCCCTTCCATGACTAACTCTAACGTCCTTAGTCTATGCACAAATCAGCACCTAAGTCAAGAATCACAAGTCATTCCCTTTGAATTTTTTCAACAAGCTAAGCCTGCTCTTCCTATTAATATTTCAACTATTTCGAGTAACTATTTTTTAAGCATTCTGTATTTCTGCTTTCAACTTAGTTCACAAGCACGGAGCATTCTACAACAGATACTCAAATGATGGTACTGATGGTACTCAAGGATACCTGAAATTCCATCAGGATGAGATTGTACTGACAGACATGCACTTGCTTTAAGGTAACCAAAACTATGTTGACTTACATTGGCAGAAACAAAAAGATTAAAAATGGAGTCCTGATGTGCTTATACCTGGTCTTTTCTCCATGTAGCTATAAATGAACACAAATGAAATATAAATGTGGAGGAAGATTTTTGCCCAAAGGGACTGTTGTTAAGGAAATGAATGTTTGAAAAAGACTGAAAAAGCATTTAGAATTAGCACCACTGGGAATATTCTAATTTTTCCATATTCAGACCCCCTGGGCATCTGACTCACAGTTTTTTCATTACAATAAACATATTTATTATAAAACTAATCATCCTTCTTCTCCAGTGTCCTCTAGTGGTTTCACTTCCATGATTTATTTCTTTTCTTTGGGAGTGAACAAATCATTATGGTCATGGGTATGACAAGGAAACATCAATTAAATTGAAATAAAAACATCAACACATAATATGAATAGTGAATATACAATTATTGACTTAAATATACCTGCATACACAAAATATTACTTTGTAAAATAGGAAAATACATTATAAAATTATGGAATTTAGTTTTTTAGATGGGCAGTTCTAATTATTGTAAATGTTCTTTTTCTTAAAAAATGCAGAAATACCAATTACTCATTATAGCTTTGCTTTGCTATAATAATTCTAAGCCAAGAACTTTGCCACAACAGAAGAAATTCTCAAAATATGACACAGAATGCACTACAAATTGGAAATTTCTTGAGCTCATTACTTATTACAAGTAACAGACAGGCATCATATCTTGATTTCAGTCACATCACAGTTCTTCTAAAGTGGCACTGAGGACTGTTTGAAGATAGTAAACATCTAAAGTATTTATTTGTGTGATTTATTCTTAAAGTATTTTGCAAACCATACTACCTATTACATTGGAAAAACAGTTTGTAATATTGCTGATCTTTCAGTTACTGCTTGTTTTGTCATCTAGGCAATTTCTGTCTTTTCTTTGCTTTTCTCCTTGGGGTAAGACAAGTCTTAACAGCACATACCTGTATAGTGATCCCAACACGGCATGACCTTCTCAGAATCTCGTAGAAGTTTGACTGCAAGTGGCCCTGTGCCTTATGAACAGAGACTGCAGGATACTAATGGTTATGGTAAGATATTAGAAAACCTGGCAGACTCTTTTCCCTGTTGCCCATTGAAAGTAGAGTTTAGGACTAACAATGCAAAATGGATGCTGTGAAAGTGAAAAACTGGTGATTTGAGCAATATATGAAATGTTCTGGGCTTGATCTGGGAAAAGTAAGTCATTTTTCCCTTCTTAATTGATTAAGTCCCTAGGTTTATCCAACATGATTACACCTTAGCATTTTTATATTTCAGCTCCCAGTTGGTTCCCTTGCTGATAGACTGTGAGCTGACAGCATGACAATAGCTCCTCTTTACTGTTTTAAAACTTGTTCAAAGTCTGCAATGCACTCCTCTTCTTTTCTACACACTTTACTATAAGTGTGGTGTATTCCACTTCCCAGATAGACTTGCTAGTCTCTTCAGCCAAGCTTATTTCTCACACTACCGTAGTAGTGTGCTTTTCTGGTCTCACTGATGGAAGCCTGGAATTCACTTCTTTTGTTTACTTCAGAAAGTAAAGAGAGACTTCGTCCTGTCTTTCTTCAACAATGCAATGCAAACATTTGATTTTCATGGAACTCCTATCCTGTGAGGTAGAATTAGGATCCTTAACTATAGCTTTTGCTCTTTCTGAGCAGAGAGAGAGGGGTGACTAGCCATATAGTGTCCTTGGCTAGACATAAATGAAAGGAGAGGCCTCTGATATCATACTGCAGAATCAACAAAGAACTACTTTTAAGAGATTTTGTGTCAAATTTTCTGAATGAGGTGTTCTAATTTACCTCATATTTCAATTGTAAGATCTGACTCTATTTTAGTCCTTCCCCATATTGTATGTATCCATATAGATAATCTTAATGTTTACCTCTCATTCCACTGCCAGCCAGGTATTTTATTTGATTGATTTTTAATCAATATTTATTAATTTTTATTCCTTCTCTTTTTTTTCCATATTTCTCATAAATGCTGGCTTAATGGTTCCTTTTGTGAAAATCTGAGAGCTGGTTTTGTTAAGAAATTAAGGATATTTCAGATATATGAAGGCAACTGTGCTGCTCATACTCAAAACTATGCAATGCTCAAAATGTTCTGTGAATGCATATTTATGCACACTGAAATAAATTAAAACCACAATTCACCTTCATATCAGTTTGAAATAGATTTTTCCACCAAATGAGTTTGTTACAAACTTACAAAAATAAAATAAAATATTTGTGGCTTGAAAGAATTTTGAATCTTAAGACCAAGGACATTAATTTGCATTATGTTGTATAAATTATATAAATGATTAACCCAGAAAAGTATATTTTAGGAAAGCTTTGTTTATTGTTGTTAAAATGGTTTATTTTTCTAATTTTGAAGATAACATAGAGAAAGTTAGTAAGTAGCACAAGGAAAGATGGAGTAATTCAAGTAGTCAATTGAGAATAATCCTGGAAATAAAGTGAAATAAAATAATTATCAAGACTTGGCGGTTAGAGACACAGGTGTCAGAATAATAATAAAGCCTGAATTAATGGGAATAAAAATGATAATATGGTATTATATGGTTCAACATAACTTATTAAAGGGAAAATGATATATCTTGGAGAATTTTTGAATGAATGAATTTCTTAAAGATCTCATATGAATGTATGTAAGTTCAAAAACATATTCCAGGTAAAAGGAAAACATCACAAGCCTGGTCACCTCTATTCATTATTCTTGTTTTTATGCTTCCTGTGTTCCTAAGGAATGTTTTTAAGGAAATGTGCCAAGGCCTCTTTCCATCGGAGAGGCCAAGAAGCTTTTGGAAGTTCTAGGTTAAGTAACTCTGCTCAAGTATTGATCTTTTTAGGGTTCTGTAGTAATTAGCGTAATGATGGACATGTAAGAGGCAATAATCAGTTCTTAGGCTTATAAATATAAGTAAAATATGGTATTTAAAAAATTTCCAAGAGTTTATTCTTATTTTCAAATCATGAAACACTTTCTCATTTCTTACACACAATGTGTAGCTTCTGTTCAGAAGTATTAGAAGAGGAAGAATTGTAACCAACAAAAAGTATGACATTCTGCAGTATGAGGGATGACATTTCTTAATTGGAGAGGATATTTCTTCAATTATTTAGGTCTTAATCTCTGCATGTGTTTCCCATCAAGTTTTGGAGGTGATGAATGAAGAACATTCATTGGCCTTTGTGAATAATCTTAGTTATCAAATTGTTTCACATATATAAAAAGATGGAAAGTAGTTAACAGATAGCCCACCAATTACATTCTGAATTTTTCAATACAGAATTGCAATTTCAGTTTCATGGGATGATTAGTATGCATTGGGCAACAATATGAATCTAAGAACTAGACATTGCCTTATTGGGCTGAATCCATAAGCCGTAGGTGCTCAATAAATACATACTTGTAGATTGGTTAGTTTCCCAGGGGAGAGTTATACCACTTTTCCTTATTGCAGGCCCTGGACTAGAGCATGTTAGAAACAAGGGCAGCTTAATATCGAGGTACTGATTCAGATCTAGCTGGGCATACTGTAAAGCAGAATTAATTAAGGTTTTAGCCAGCAAAGGTCGAAAAAGTAGAAATCCATATAAGGTTTACTTCACATTTTGCAAAAGCTAACATTCCCATTTTAGCGCCAGAGTGCCCTGAGCAAATGCTCTACTTCGGAGGTGCATAAAGCAGACAAGCCCATAGAAGCAAACAGGCAGCGGGGAAGGAGGGGAGCAGGTAAGGACTGAAGAACTGAGGAAATAGGGATCCTGGAGCCCCTGGGCCCATTCTGGGTTTAAAAAAGAGAACGAGAAGCTCTCCATCACTTTTCCTTTTTCAAATACCCAGCAAGTGAAACTGGCCTTGGGAAAACAACGTTATATTACTGAGACAGCGGAGTCATCCTTGCTCCATGGCCATAACCTAGGAAAACTAGGATTCCACATATCTGACGCCTTCTAGAAAACGCCTTCTACCCTTGGTTCCTAGAAAAGGAAATTCAAGTGACTGGGAGTGGTGTCAGGGGCGGGTCACCGGCAGACCATTTGAAAGAACTACAGCGAGCCAGAGGGTCAGGGGCGGGGCAGGGGGAGCCTCTGGCGCCAAGAGCTGGAGCTTAAAGCTTCGCTGGTGCGGACCCACGGCTCCTCGCGCCCGGCACCGCCTCCTGCAGCCCGGGGAGGGGCCAGGGCGGAGCAAGCCTGGCCGCTCAGAGGCGGAGCGGGCGCGGGCAGAGCATACTGAGGTCCGCGACGGGATCCGTGTCGCTGCGGCTGCCGGCGACCCCCGCACAGGGCAGCCGCACCCACAGAGACATCTTCGCGGCGCGAGGCGCACAACCCCGAGAGACAGACGCGTCCTCGCGCGCCGCGTGCACCTCGGCTGCTCTCCCGGTCCGGAGGTCGGGCTCGCAGCTCTCCGGACCTGCCAGGTGTCCTCGCTTCCGGAGGGGCGGGCGGAGCGGCGCCCGGGATGGCTTCGGCGGGCAGCGGCATGGAGGAGGTGCGCGTGTCGGTGCTGACTCCGCTGAAGCTGGTCGGGCTGGTGTGCATCTTCCTGGCGCTGTGTCTGGACCTGGGGGCCGTGCTGAGCCCGGCCTGGGTCACGGCCGACCACCAGTACTACCTGTCCCTGTGGGAGTCCTGTCGGAAACCCGCCAGCTTGGACATCTGGCACTGCGAGTCCACGCTCAGCAGCGGTGAGGGCCCGGCGCGCGCGCCCCCTCCCCTCCCCTCCCCTCCCCGCCCCGCGCCCCGCGCCCCGCGCCCCGCGCCCCGACGCACCCCTCCGCCCCCGCCCCGCGCCCCGCGCCCCGCCGCACCCCCTCCTCCCCCTCCTCCCCCGCTCCGGGCCCCTGCCCGGGCCCGGGCCTGCCTTCTCCGCTCCTCGGCTCTCAGGCGCCCCGCTCGCTCTCCGGCCACATCTCTGCCGGCACCCACCTCGCCCGCGCGGTCACCAAACCTAAAGCGACGTCCCCGCCCTGTCCCTCTTCCCAGGGCCGCCTCCCTCTCTACCCCGCCGTCCTGGAGTAAAGCGGATGCTATTTCGGGTAACTGGTATCATTTAAGGCGAGGGCGAAGTGGCTGTGTAAGAAATGGAACGCTTTCAGCGCCCGTGTTTAAAAGATACGGGCAAAAAACGCCCGAACCTACCAAGATGTGTGAGTTTTCTACTCAGTTTTCCCTACTTTCAAAGAGGAATTTGCCTGAGTTTACCTCTCACAGCTCACGTTCCTGCCTGTTTGACTTCACCCTTACCGCCCCCCCCCCCAAGTTAATTTCGCTTTGGGTTTTATTTCCTTAAATTCTGAGGTGGTATGTCGAGCTAGGAGAGACAGTCTCGATTTTTTGCCTTTTTTGGTGACTCCATTGATTTCTTCTTTGTCTTCCACTGTAAGAAACTCCTTCTCCAGATCTTTCCCTTCTAGAGCTACACATAGTTGCCTGGAAGTTATGCCTCATTCAGAGAGCCCTGAAAGCTGTAAAGGGATAGGATAGGGGGTGGGGACTTTATGACTTTATTCCTTCCTAGACCCTCCAGCTGCCTTCCCCCGCGCTCTAACTATGCCTGTAGGCAAATCGGCCAACTTCCTTTTCTTACGGGGTACTCTTCCTTTTTTATCTTCTTGATCTCCCAGCAGCTGTTGTCCGCACAGAGAAAGCGGGATACAGGGAGAAGACTTACCAGTGATTTTTCTACACACACACACACACACACACACACACACACACGCAAACACACTCAACTGAGAAACTCATTAAATTCGTTTCTGACAGTTTTATATCTTTGAGACTATTTATAAAGCTTTACTGGAACCGTTTCAAGTTCCAATAAAGTTGAAGTAGCACAGAAATCTGATTTTCCTTTGTCTTTTGTTTCATGTTGTAAGACAGATTAGCTTACTTCGTTAAGTATCTTCCATAAATTTAATTTTGTATTTCTAAAAGCCTTTTTCTTTGTTACTACCTCAGAATTCCCATTGAAGGCTTTTCTCTTTGTTGATTAATTCACCGTGGAGGGGACTGGTTGACAGCAGGAGGTCAACATTTAGGTCTTTTAATTCTTTCAGGGTTGGTTGTTTACAACTAAAGATAAAATAAACCGGCAAAATGCCTTTCTTCTGTAACCAGGGGATCCAAATAAACTTTGGAGAAAATATCTTTCCTTTTTCCTCTTCGATAGAAATGGAAATTTATGTAGGAATGCCAGTTTAGGCATGTCTCCTTAGCAACGTGAATCTTTTGCCCCTTTCTCTCTGTCTCCTGAAATAATAGCCCTCTGATTGCATAAAGGCTTCAGATGGGTTAGAGAAACTAGCTTCAACTCCCATTTGCTTTTCAGGCCGGTATCCTTTTCTAATAGACAGGAATTCAGGGAATGGTTGAAAGCCAGCTCAAGTTTTAGTGGTGCGCAGTGTTTGCTAATCTTTCCTTAATTGCTTTCATACCCATTCATTTCAGCCCCCCCCCCCTTCTAGGCAAAGAAATAGGGAGATACAAGATTAATGCGAATATAGTGGTAATAAAACTCTTGCAAAGTAAAAATCAAAGCCAGGCAGTTTCTGGCCACCCCCACCCTCAGCCCCTTTATTCTCCCTTCTTGCATATATACCCATGCCTCATCATTTACTTCTGTTTGAGTTCCTGAAAATCAACTTTAGTCTTAGTTTGCTTAAAAATATTTTTCAGCCCAGAAAAAGGCACCGTTTGTAAGCAAATGGTTAGCAAATAGAGATGGTTTTGTTGGAGGCTCTCTGGAACAAGTTTTTGAGTTTATATAGTAGCAGTTAGTTTTGCTCTCCTTGGTTGAGAGGTGGGGGAGGGGAAAAGAAATAAAATGTGGAAAATTGTTCTATGTCTGCACTTACATAATGTGCTTTCTTAAAAATGTTATGTGGACTTGAGGCTTCAGTCCACCAGTGTTTTGAAATGAAGGACGCCTGAATAGAAACCAGTGATGCTTTTCTTGCCTGTTCCAAAAGGCAGGCAGATTTTTTTCAGTCTGTTTGCTATGTGGAGTAGCAGAAGGCAGGGAGGAAAATGTCTTCTCTGAAGATTTTAAGAGATCCACTTTAGTATCTCTCGAAATGAATTACCTTAGGAGGAACCACCAAAGACAGGTTTACTAAAGGACCTTCACCAGGATCTTCACGGGCTTAATTAAAAACCTTTGTCTTAATTAGAATAAAAACTGCCTTGAAGAGGCAAGCTAATATTTACACATGGAAAATTTCTGGAATGTTTCTTTTGACAACAGTATGTTGCAGTTAGGCACGGTTTCTACTGAAACTTTTGCCCGAGCCATTATTTTTAAACTTGTGTTTTAATTTTGATACCAAATATGCATAGTTTGCTGTTTATAACCCATTTTATGGTCTTAAGCAAAGGCAGAACCATGCCTCATGTGTCCTGGTCTGTTGAAGGTTGCGTCAGCACTCCCAGCAAGAAATAATCTGGTTGTATGTCAGCTGTAATGCTTTTCTCTGTGTCCCAATTCAATGTATGGGGACAGTTCAGGACCTGATTTTAAACTGTATTTTAAAAGAACACACACACACAAACAAATGAGAAAACAGCTTAACTGACTGTCATCCATCGTGGGAAAGGGGAGATGTGTGTGTGCTAGGAAGTTTACAATATGCTGTACTCATATGGCTGCTAGCCACAGAATTCCTTTCTAAGGGTAATTTTCCTCACTATTGTTTTGGCTGGCCTTTTAATAAATCCTAAATCTTACTCAAAGTATAGTAATGTTTTAGGCTTCTGCGTGCTCATGTTTAGTTTTGATAACTTTTATAGGATATAGTTAGGATCTCACAGACAGCAATTGTAAAAGAATCCTTAGATCTAATAGGATGGTTCAGGTAGGTATAGAATGCTGACAGCTGAAACTCAATATCAAGTGGACTGTACAGTCTCATGCTGGTGATTTTATATTCCTTTTTTAAGTTGTAGAAATATGTAGCTATTTCATGTAAAGCAGAGTGATTTTTGTTGTTTGTGTGATTTATTAATTTTACAAAATCAAGGGCATAGTGGTGGCCAAATGAATACATTTTGCTGACAATAATTTGGACATATATCAAGTGCATTTATCCATCTTTCCATCCACAGCATATTTGATCACATAGTGTTTTTTAAGCAATAACATTAATATCATTCATCCACTGCCCTAAAAATAGCAACATTTGTGACATGAGTCACTAGTAGTTTTGAAATGACACTGCATTATATGTAGATAACTGGTGAATGTTGTTATTTCCAGTTGCAAGAGTGCTTACATGTAGCTCATTTTTAAAATTTTAGCATAAAATCCACTTTTAAAGGAATTTATAAGAAATCCTGCTTTAAGTAGTACCTTAGATAAACAGAGCACTCTGAACACCTGCAATCCTTAGAAAATCTGAAATATGGTTATTGTGACTTCAAGTATCATCTGTATATATTCTGATTCTGTACCTTAAAACAAACGTTTCATTGAGAAACCTCACAATGTTATTTGTTCCAGGAAAGGTTCTGCTTGTTACCGGAAAGCTGATGTTGGTACATGTTTATAAACAGCTCAGCAACTGGAGGTCTCTACAGTTATAACTTCTGGCTTCCTCTACAGAAATAATTATAGGACAAATGCAGTTTTGCTCAACCTATATAACATAAATGGGTGAAAAAGAACACTACCAGATAGTACCAAACTGTTTTCAACTAATAAACCAGTGAAAGCCAAAAACAAATTACTTCAAGATCTTCATGATGACTTCTTTGATATCTTCTAGAATTTCAACTTCCTTAGCTTTTCTTTTATAAGGACATTTTAATTTGTGGGCAAATATAATTCCTCTTTTGTTCACATTCATAGAAGGATAGAAGGATTGTAATCTCCAGGGAGCCACTCAGATCTGTATTTGGCAGCAAAGGGATTTCATGGGCATGTGAAAATCCTGGCCTTTAATAAAACATTTCAAATAAAACAAAAACAAACAAAACAGTATCTCATACAATAGACTTTACCTGCTGTTGGGAATACATTTCCGGAATTTCCTTTGTTTCTGTTCAATAGTAAGACTGCTAAGAGAGGCCACAGATATAACCAGACTACTAAATATACTTGTAAAAGTAGTTTTACATGTTTCAAAATATGTGTTTTGAACATGTGACCTAAATACTACAACAAACCTTTGCAGGAACTATGCAGAATTATAGCAGTCCTGAGGCAGAGAGGATATTATGAAGAACACATGAGATTTTGAGTTGTAATTGACCAGAATGAGGCCACTTACCAATCATGTGATGTCATACAACATGCTTAATGTTTTCAAATGGTTTGGACCGGGGATTGAGCTCAGCAGCATAAATGTCTGCCTGGAATGCACAAGTTGATGAGTTCAATCCCCAGCACCAAAAAAACAAACAAACAAAAAAAGTTTTCAAATGATTTGTCATGAACATTAAATATGTGAAAAGTTTTATTTTTTATATTAAACATTATAAGAACAAAGTCAAAGTGATTTTTTCAGTGGGAGAACTTTTTAAAAAAATATCAAAGTAATAGTATTTATGTTTTTCAAAGAAATTTTTGTTTATTTTCAGTTTTAAATAGTGATTAATATTACCTAGCATTTAATAATGCTCTTGGTAAGTTGTGTTTACAAAAGTATTATCCAGTAGCTATATATTTTTCCAGTACTATTGTAGACCAAAT